AAGAGATATTGTTGGGTAAATCGTTAATAAATAGAAGAAATAACAAGGGTCCTAAATTAGATCCCTGAGGGACACCAGATGTCACATTAAATTTGAATGAATTAAACCCCTCGTAACAAACAAACTGCTGTCTATCTGTTAGGTATGATTTAATAAACTTAACTAGATTGTTAGATAGCCCAACACTATCAAGTTTATGGAGTAATATATAATGATCAACTTGATCAAACGCCTTCTGAAAATCCATGTATAATACATCAACTTGTCCTTGACAATCAATGGTTTCACAAATGTATTGAGAAATACAAGCTAAATTAGACATACAAGACCGTTTATTAATAAAACCATGTTGTTCCGGCGAGAAAATATTTTTAGCTGAAGCGTTAATATTTTCATAAATTATAATTTCTAAAAGTTTTGAAAAATTGCATAAAATGGAGATGGCTCTATAATTAGATATTACGGACTTATCGCCTAGCTTTAAAACCGGACATATACCGGACTTATCCGGGTATGTCGCTGTGGATAGTGAAAGATTAAACATATACAACAAAGGAGTTACTAATATTTGGCCACAGTCTTTTACAACAAAACTAGGTATGGAATCAGTACCAGAAGTCATTTAATTTTTTAGCTTCTTTAACACATTAAAAAAATTAGACTCGGTAATTTTCTGAATGTTAATAATATCACCATGAACTATTTATTGCTTCTTTGTTAGCCTCGTAGTTGACGTCAGATGTGACATAAACACTGTGAAAATAAGTAGCAAATGCATCCACAATCGTTTGTGGACTGTTATATTCAATACCATTTAGTTTTACTGTACCTGGAATGCTTGAATGGCCTTTTTTACTATTTATATAAGACCAAAATTTAGTAGAATCAAACATAATAAGACGTTCAGAATTATGAATAAAATTGTTGTATGCTTGTTTAATCTGAATCTTAATAGTACTTCTCAAATTACTAAATTTATTATAATAATAATCTGTTCTGAACCTTTTATAGTTTTTAAATGCTGATTCCTTAAGACGTATTTTTTTATAATATCACTAGTAAACCATGATGGAAAACAACTACGACGATTAATTTTTAGAGGTACAGATTGATCAAAAATATTACTCAAGATGTTGTAAAACACTTCGCACGCAACATTAATATTATCACATTTTAATACATCAGACCAGTCCACATTTGCAATAAGTTCGTACATTAAAGGATAGTTCGCTTTCCTAAAGTTAAATTCTCTGTTTATTTCACTATTCTTAACGTTAAATTGGTCATAACGCTGATAATTACAATCAAATATTAATATCAATGAAGGATGGTAGGCATCTTCTTTTACAAGAGGCAAATCGTCTTTACGGATGTTACAAGTGAAATTAGAAAATACAAGATCTAGTGATCGGCCTTGACAGTTCAATACATTATTATATTGCTGTAAATTAAGCATATCAATTAGATTGCTCAAAGCTATACACTTCGTATCATTTACATTGATACCAAAGTATGGTACATTGAAATCACCCATAATAAGAGTATTTTTCCTATTTTGTATACATAATAACAGTAAACTGTCAATAAATGATTCAAAATAAATTAGTGACAGATTTGGAGGGATATAAATAAAAAGTATACAAACGGAGAAATAATCCTTACTAATTTTACATCCAACTATGTCGATCATAGGCGCAGCAAGTGTTATGGAAGACACATCAATCAAATCAACCTTAAAATAATTTTTAACAGCAACTAAAACACCACCTCCTCTTGACGTATCCGTCGCAGCAAAGTTTCTATCACACCTAAATACTGTATAGTCACTTGGAAATAATTCATTGTCACTGATACCCGTAGTTAACCACGTTTCCGTAAGACCTATAATATCGTAATCATTTGATAATACAGCGTTGTAGAATTCAACTAATTTAGTGTTCAAACCGCGAACATTTTGATAATAACAGTGTAATAATTTATGACTATCATTATAATTGGGTGAGGCTTCTAGTTTAAATTATCAACAATTTTAGGAACATCTTTAACATACTTGATTTTAACATTTTCTCCTTTTTGTTTTCTTTCAATTAGTTCTTTCTTCACTTTGCGATAATTTTCAATCTGCCTAGGAGTTCTGTCACCAGTAATGTAGACATGTTTAAAATCATTGGATTCTTTCAGTTTTCTAGATTTTTTCAGAATTTCTTGAACATACGTTTCAGCATTAAATATTACTTTAATGGGGCGAGGACAAGTGTTGTCGGAATCAAACCTACCTAATCGCTGGTATTTTATATCTTCAGTAGGAACAGTAGGAAAACCTAAGTCAAGTATTTGGAATACATTATTTTTCTCAATAGCATTACGCTCGTTTTTGCTTACACTAGGCGACTGTTCACTGATACCAAAGATCACTAAATTGCACTTTCTAATATTCCTGTCATTGATTTCTTAGATAACTTCTTCAAAATCGTACGCTGATCACTAATTTTGGCTGCTTTTAATTCCTTCACCTCTTCTTGATGTGCAATAATTGCTGCTTTTAAGGAATTAATATCAGCACCAATATCATCACATTTATTGCATGTCCAAGAGATCGATTTTTTACTATTGATTAACCTCGTCTCACTTGATGACATGTTCACACAGCCATGATAAAAAGTATTTTTGCAGATACAACATGTTAAGCACAGATGAGATTCAGTGCGTTTACCACAACATTTACAATGTAGATTGCTCATTTTTCAATAAAAAATAAAACAATGATTAACATTTACAAAAAATAATGATTTGAAAGATAATGGCATATCAAAGATAATATTAGACCATTATGCTTTATTTTAGCACGCATTTTATAATAAACCAACCCTGTGTTTAATTTCATTTTCAAGGGTAGCGACACCTGTGAGAGAGTATACAAACTAATTAATGTTAGAAGATCATCTTGTCTAGTAGGAATTACGACAATTTTGCTTTAGGGACATAATAAAAAGGACGATCGTGTAAAATGTTGATATTTTACTTGAGGATACAAATTATAGAATTATTAATAAATATTAATCTGAAAATTAAATACAAATGATTCTAGGTGTCCGTTCTAGTGAGTGAAGTAGTTCGGTTATTGTGCCTGACCTAGTTCCTTCGTAAATGCAATATATTGACACGAACAGTATGGTTAAAATTATTCTTCTGTTCTCATGAGCATTGAAAATTATCTCACTCACTAGCGGGAACCATTGCGAATACATTGATATGTAATAATATCCAATTATGTTAGTTTCTTCAATGATTTGTGTCCTCATCTGAAGCTCTGTTACACGGTAAAAAGACACATACTAAATCCCCCCCTTAACTTTAAAAATTCTTAATAATGACTAAAATTTCCATATTAGACAATTGTTAAAATACCATTTTTTTAGGTAGTAATTCGAAGTGGATTAGATGTCCCAGATGTATTTTGGGGTACATACAGACCTGGTGTTTATTTTGGTTTAAAAACTAGAGATCCTAATTCATTAGTTGCTGGTCTTATGTGGTACTTTCCTCGTAGATTGAAACCTGGTGGTGATGGTATAAGGTATTATATTTTGATACATTTTATTTATTTTAAATAATGAGGTATAAGAAAATGAGTAACATGAAATATCCTACAACTAATATGATTGCTTTGCTATTTATTTATTTCATAAGAATTATGAACTTGGGTGGAATGAGCATCATAGAAGGTTTTACTGGGTGATCCCTAATTTTTTATGGCAATTTACTTTATTAAGATTTTTAACAAATTGAAAACATAGTCACATGCAAGGTGTTACAGGTATAGAAAACAGTTAAAACCGCGAGAAGTCAGGGAATTTTGTAATGCCCGCGGAAAAGAGTGGAAGTTTTCAAAAATATTTGAAAATTTATTGAAGTCTTTGGCATCATAAATCATATAGGTATTTTAAAAATTTGTTGTATCTGACTTTGGAGTTCCTAAATTATGAACAACAGATCTGTTAAAAAATCGTCATCATGAATGTGTTAATGGGACAAACTGTCTGTGACCCTTTATAATTTTCCTACGAGCAATACATTTCTCTAATAGTTGTTTAGCCCACCAGACAAAGGTGTATGATGAAGTATGCTATTCCTTCTTATATAAACACACTCCATCATCATTGTCATCATAGGCGCCGACTTTTAAAACTTTTGTCGGGAGCTCGGTTGCCTTATAAGCATTTTTTTGCCAGATAACATTAAAAAGCAAGAGAAATGAGTCGTCATTTGAAATAGCATGAGGTAAAAGATTTAAAATACGTATCTTTCCAAATTAGATTTTATGAAAAACTTTTTAAAAAATATATCGAAATGAATTAAACTTGTCAAAATAATTAAACTTTATTACTGTTTAGATACAAATTTTAAAAATTTAACAATCTTAATAATTTTAACAAAAAATAAACTTCTATGGAATAACAAGTGAAAATATATGTACTATGTAGACGTAAAAGTAGGTAGCACAGAAATATAGTATTCTAACAAAGCTGATAATAATTCTTGCGGGTGCTCCGGGGCACCCGAGAAGTCGGCACCTATGATTGTCATTGTCTTTGTTATTATTATTATCATAATCAGAATCAGTATTATCATCATCATTCTGATTATTATCTTTATCATTGTTATCATTATCATAATGTGTATCATCATCATCAACCAGTCATCGATCATCTATTAATCATCCATCATCAATCATCAATGATCCATCATCCAACATCATTCTATCAGTCATCCATCATCCATCAGTTATCAATCATCCATTAATCATCAGTTCATCAATTGTGTAAAACAAGTTGATTGTAGTATTTTTCATTATGGTATGGTGGCATATGTTTAACAGTTCCTGTGTTGTGGACTTAGCTAATGCCAGACATTGGTATTGGTTTGAATTGGTTGGTTTGAGATATTCCAGATATTGTGTTGGTTTTTTAAAGTTTTGGTTTGCATTTTGCAAAATTCTTTTTTAAATATGCAATAAAAGTTCTATGTTTTGGATTATTATTTTGAGATGTCGTTGATTGATGATATTGGTTGACTTATTCTATTTGTTATTTAGTGCATTTTGACAAAATATTGAAATATTTCTTCTAGAACATAACTTAAAGCTTCTTCTACCATATATGAATTTTTATTCTATTCTATTCTATTTAGGCAAATTAGTTGGTAATTTGTAAATATTCATTTTCTTGTTGAAAATCCATTATAATTCTGAATAGCTGTAGGTGTAATGAGGTAAATTAGAGTCCTTTTTAATGCGGTATAAAATTATTTTATTCTCTTTCCTATTTTGCATATTATACTATCACTAGAGAAGAAAAAAATTAAAATCATTTGAAAAGAAATTTCAGCCCAAACTAGTAACAAATAACATTATAATTTTGTTTAAATATGAAAATACATATTTGTATAATTTTAAAAAACTTTGAAGTCATTGTGTCATATTGAGAAGAAACAATTGGATTTTATTGAAATTTATTTCCCTGTCGTACTACGATTCACAATCACAATACAAGATGTGCAGCTAATATTTTCACTGATAAATTCAGATTATCTCTCTAAGAGAAGTGCGTATTATACATGTAGTACAATTTATAACAAACTACCTCTAACAATAAGAAATCTAACCAGTGTCTCTTAAATTCAAAAAAGAACTTTTAGAGTTTCTTTATGAAAGGAGCTTTTACACTGAAGGAATTCTTAGATACCTATACATGATTCGTATTGTCTCTACATCTTATTTTTTATATTTATTTTATGTATACGTTAAGTATAAGTAATATGTAAGACTTTATTTATGTATTATTATAGTTTTGTATTGTTGTAGTCTGTCTTTCTCTTTTTTAAATCTGACGTTCGTATCCTGTGTTGGCATATATGAAATAAAATTTATTATTATTATATTATTATTATAACTTGTTNATTATCATTATCATTAGCATTAGCATTAGCATTAGCATTATCATTATCATTATCATTATCATTATCATTATCATTATCATTATCATTATCATTATCATTATCATTATCATTATTATTATTGCATCGCAGGACAAAAACTCAAGAGAGCTTTTATCTTTCGAATTGAACCATCTTTTTCTTTAAAAATATCAAAGTCGCTGCTCGTACACATGCCACTGTTTGAGCTCAAAATTATGTTTGATTGAAAAACATGCGTCTTTATTAACTGTCACTACATACTAAATATCACTGAAATATCTCGAGTGGTTTTGAAAATATTAATTAATATTCTTTTTCCTAAAATGTTAACACCTCGTATTTTCACAACAGAACATTTTTGGACTATAGTTTATAAAGCAAACTATCATTAATTTTCCATGTAGAATCACACCTTTAAATATTCGCATATCATTAAGGAACACCCTCTATATTGTGTATCGTTTGAAAAATGCAAAAATGTGTTTTTCACTGATTCGATGTATAAATGAAAAACTAAATTGTTTCTGTGGAATGATCTCAATATATAATTTTACTATTGAGGGTGTTAATAACTAGTAGGTTAAGTAGTTAGCCACATATTCTTTGAACTAAAATAATGGGACTTTTCTTGTGCCAATTTTCATTTCGGAGCCCCATTTTCAAAATACAGGGTGTCAAAATGAAACTTTAAAAAATTATTTTTATTTATAATACTCCGGTGATTGTAGAGATATTTATTTGAAATTTAACACATATTTTGATCTTAAGTTGGCAGGCACACTTTTTGTGTAATTTTGGCGTAAAATATCAAAGCGTGAACGGAGGGGAGGGAGGTTGCAGTAGGTACCCATGGACTCCATATTTTTTGTTTGAGTACGCCTATGCTTTCCAAATATTTTTTTTTTTTGGATAAAGCGGCGTTTTATTCTATATTTTTCACTCTTGTAAGATTTAGGATCTATGGTCCTCCCCTCATTTTAAACCAAAATTCCACAAGAAGTGTGCCGACAATATCAAAATATGTGCTAAATTTAAAATAAATATCTACAATCACCGGAGTTATCAATAAAAATCATTTTTAAATTTTAATTTCGACACCCTGTATTTTGAAAATGTGGTTCCGAAATGAAAAGTGGCATTAAAAAAAGTCTCATTATTTTAGTCCAAAGAATATGTGGTTAACAAGTTGACCTACTATTTTTTACTAATTAGTAGGGTGTTACCACCATGTGTAAATACTAGATAAATCTTAATTCAAATCTTGTAGATACTGTCAGGTACTTTAGGCACATTAATTTTGATTTTAAATTTGAAAAATTTGCACTTGATTAAATGATTAAATGGGCTTGAATTCATTGGAATGAAATGGTAAAAAAATTAAAGGATTAGTTTGTTTCTTTGGTTTCTTTATTTCTTTCAAAAAGAAGTTTAATTGGATCTTCAAAAGAATATTTGAAAGCTTTATCTTAACCTAGTGAACAATCAGATCAGTTTCCTAAAGTTAATGATCAATCAAATCAATTTCTTTCTAAAACTAGTTGTCAGTTAGACCTCTTTGACAATTGAGCAAGCAAGACTGAGTAAACAGGATAAGCAGCAGGAGATAAGTACTGTTAAAACACGGTAATTTTTAGAAAATATTTATAACAATCCAGGAATTAAATATAACATAAAATCAATTATTAACAGTACAGTACTCAACACATAAGTCTATATCAGGAATGAATCCTTGTCTCTCCCCAACTTGCAGGCGTTCCTTATATCGAGGCCACATCTACTTTATGGCTGTTTTGACATTTATTATAAACAATGACGGCGACTCGATACAAGGTCTCTCACATTCGGCCTTCCTGACACAGCGTCGTCCCAATCCTGTCTCACATGGCACCTCAAGATCTCAATGTCCTGAAGTGTCCTAGAAAGAGACAAAGAATACAACAGCAATGGCACTTAAAATAATTGTTTTAGTTATTAATCATAATCATTATTATTATTATTATTTTAAGTTTTGAGTCAGCTACTGGGAGTGCATTTGATTAATTTCGGTCAGCTCGACAAAAGCTGCTACTTTTAGTACACGGTAGCAGCAGATTCTAAAATGGACTCGACAGACAATTTGCTGGAGTACACACAAAAATGAACTCGACAGACAATTTGCTGGAGTACACACAAAAATGGACTCTACAGACATGTGCTGGAGTGCACATAAAGAAACTGCGCACTGGACTCAACAGGAGGTACATTGGAGCACCGAGGTCCGAAGAGTCGACCGAAGCTGTCTCTAAATGTGAAGGAAATGGACTCAAGAGTTTTATCAATACAAAACAAGTGTATCAGTAAAAATAAATTGTCAGATAACAACTAACATCTAGACTTCATCATAAAATATTGTAGTTCTCAAACCCAACAAACAATAAACAAACAAAAAGTCTAGCAAACAAAATCAAAATGCACAAAATAAAAAAAATTGGAGTACACATTTCAAATTTGTCTGGAGTAACGTATCAACAGACTTAACGGGTTTTACTTCGGAGTACACGTAACAATGAACTTAACAGCACTTAACAAAAGGGATAAAATAAATGTCGATGGACTCAATAATTTCCAAATGATAACTTAACCATTTAAAAGGTGTATAGCCAAATTATTATTGATTTCATAATAAAATTTAATACAGTCAATTTTCGTCATCAAAGAAAAATATGAACTCACTCTTCTTATATTTTCTGAGTTCTAAAAAAACTTCATTCTGTCGCTGGCTAGGACACCTTTAAATCGCCTACGGTCCTGTGAAAGTGACTGTACCTGATAACGATTATTTCGGAGCACTACCATCACCTTAACAGGTCCACCAACTTGCCACTAGTTAGGCCCTTGACAAGGGGTGTCCTCTCAATCATCACCATATCTCCTACTTGAAACTGTAATGGCTCAAGTCTGTTTCTGTTATAACATAACCGCATAGCACATGCACTTTTGTTTATATTACACAAAGCTTTATCTCGATTTACTTTAAGTCTGTCTAATCTATTAGTATTCCCATTTTGCTTTAAAGTAATGTCGTGCGCTAATTTCGGTTGAAACCCGTACAATAGATCGGAGGGTGCTTTTCCCGTTGTAGAACTAATATTTGCGTTTATATATCGTTGTACTTCAGGTATTTTATCCTGCCATGAATCATAATTTTCCCCAACAGCTGTTATCATGGTGTTTAAGATAGTGGCGTTATACCTTTCAACCCATTCTGTTATATGTCCATTACTTCTTGGACTAGCTATTGTGTTAAGAACATGTTTGATATTTTCCTCTTTGCAAAATTCTTGCATTAATTTGCTCGTAAACCTTTTCCCCTATCGGTAATTATTCGTTCGGGATTTCCAAAAAGGGAGTTTTAGGCATTGGATGATGAATGGAGAACTTGTATTTTTCACGGCCTCTAACCAAGTAAATTTGGTGAATGCATCAACGACTACTAGTAAGCAAACGTTTCCATTTGGAGATTCAGAAAATGGTCCTAGATGATCTAAATGAAGAGTTTGAAAAAGTCGATTTAATTGGGCTCGCGTATTCGGAAACAGCAGGCTCCATAATGTCATTTTCTAGAAGATGCTTCACAATTTTCCTGACAATTTCTCTCTCATAAAATGAGAGCGAATATGGTCTGTAAACTACCGGCATTGAATTGGTCAACCTAATTTTCATTTCGACGTTGGTGTTCCCAAGCTCCGCGTTAGTCGCAGCAAAACAATCTTTGTATTCTTCAAGTATTTCATTCAATCGTTGGGAGTTCTATTTCAGTCGGAGTTGTGGATTGCATAGGTACTTCAGTCACAGACTGCCCCGAGGGGATTCCCCGTGCAACGCACTTCCCTTAATCAATGAGAACATCGTGATGGCTGATATTCAAAACCGTTAATATGCTCAAATTGTTATAAAATTGTAAGTTTTGGGAATCATTAACATTATATTATTATGATTCTGTTCCGAAAAGTTAGCAATGAGTTCGCCATTACATAATTCAGATTGGACAGTAATTCGATTAATTCTGGGTACCAATGTTGTAGTATTATTACAATTAATTTTAACTTTATCAGTTGAAACTTCTGGACTTAATTGTAATGCATTATTTTCTTTGTAGAAATTTAACTTATCTGCTGTTTTAGTGACATAAATATTTTTCGATTCCGTAAATGTTCGACCGATAAGTAAGTCAAAAGTTTGGCAGTAATCGCTTACTACGTGAATAGGTACAAATCGAGATACCTCATCGACAGTAATGGTAGCTTCTATTGAGCCATGAGTGGATACAATTGAACCACCGTAACCTTGTACTTTTATTTTTCGATCCTTATTAATAGGCAGTTTTAATTCATCTACTTTTTGTGGTTTTATTGTGTTGCAAGCGCTGCCAAAGTCAATATACGCGGAAACAGTTTCATTATTTAATTTAGCTTGTATATGAAATTTTGCATCGTCCTCACTAATTAAATTAATTTTTGTAGAAGTAGTACTTCTCGATTTTAACTTGAAACAATTTTTACGAACATGACCTGGTCGTTTACAATAATTACATGTTATATTTTTATTGATAAAACAATCAAATGATTTGTGGGCCGGCTTATTACAACGTAAACAAACTAGGGGTCTCTTAAATTCATTTGGATTAGAAATACTATGTCGATGTTTTGGTTGTTCAGATTCTCGGCGAGAAGTGACGTGTCGGTTTTGGTGAGGAACTGTAACAATTTTTCCGTGGACTTACAGTTAGCAGCGCGCGCGCTGGCCTTCAATAAATTATTGTTTAAAGTTGAGATTATAATATCTGTAATAACCTCATACTCCTCCGATACTGAGCTTTTCATAATAAAATGACACAACGTCCTGATCAGCCCTTCGCTCTGTATTTAGCATATCTCTCAATTTTAATGCAATTCCTTTGTTACTGGGGAAAGCCATTTTTAATTTCTTTTCCCACTCTTGCCATACAGACGGCATTGAAATTTGGCAATCCAATCGTACCATAATTTCGCGTTTCCTGAGAGTCGTGCGGTCATACAGAAGATTTTGGCGTGATCATCCCAATTATATAGGTCGCCGATGGCATTTATTTTATTTATACATTGATCCATCGTTAAACTGTCAACGGATGCATTAAATTCCGGCACTAATTCTAAGCGGACAACATATCGTGATGAATGAGAATAACAAAGCGACGATGTCGCTTGTGGTTCTTGCAGCGTTGCAAGGTTAGCGATCTGCGACGTGCTATGTTGAGACGACGTGGCAAGAACGTCTGGTGACTGACGCACTTCCGAACTTGGCCCTGCACCCTCGCTCCGAAAATTATTTCTCTTAATCATGTCCTCCAACGCCGAAATTCGCTTTTTTAGAGAATCGACTGTTTCTGTACTATGATCTCTCACACGTTTTACGCGACTACGACGACGAGATCGAGATCGCCGTTTTTGATGATCACTCATTTTAATTTTCAATACTTAATGGGTAAAAGTTCAAAATAATATTTTACTGCACCCAAATTTGACAAGATTAGACAACTCAACAATACTAATAGTCAGTGTAAAGCTTTGTGTACTCACCACTAACTAATACATAGTGTGCGGTGCATAACACTAAAGACAATTTCACAGCACACTGAACACAATTTCACAGCGATAAATTGTTTTTACGGAAAACAGATAAAAACTATTATTGTTTATTATTTAAGCTCATCCCACTTCTGATATGTTAAAACACGGTAATTTGAGAAAATATTTATAACAATCCAGGAATTAAATATAACATAAAATCAATTATTAACAGTACAGTACTCAACACTTATAAGTCTATATCAGGAATGAATCCCTGTCTCTCCCCAGCTTGCAGGCGTTCCTTATATCGAGGCCACATCTACTTTATGGCTGTTTTGACATTTATTATAAACAATGACGGCGGCTCGATACAAGGTCTCTCACAGTACTTACTTTCCTGTGTTCTCTTGAACATGGCCTTGAGGGATGTGATGGCGAACACTTGCTAATGTGCCACTATAGACGGCTTTACAAACACTCTTCCCCCAGGTTCTTTAACTGTGCCAGTAATGTGGAAGCTTCACAATTATACACCCTCAGTCACTCAAGCATTTGCTGCAAATCTGATTCTTACTATTTTTTTACAGCAGCTCTTATACTAAACTTTTTAACTTTATAAAATAAGTATTTAAAATACGTAGCAGTATGGTTATATAAATATGAGTTAACCTCAATATAACTATTGTATGAGGTTTTCACTGAAAATGATCACTCCTATAACTTTTTATTTTTGATTTTAGAAAAAAAAAATTGTTTGGTTTAAAAAAAAAGTTTTCTATAAAAGTTATTCGGCTGTCAGTTTGCAAAAGACAATTGACTTCTAGATTTATTTTATATGGAACACCCTGATTTTTTTATATATTTGAAATCTGTAAAATGAAAAATGTAAATATGTAATTTATTTACTTCAGTTGTTTTTACAGATAAGACTTTAATTTATGTTAACATTATGAATATTCCAATCTACAACTGCATTTTAGTAGCGTTATTATTAAATTTAAATAAAATTGTAACAAAATGAAACTGATTAATTAAATTAAAGTTAAATTTGATAAAATAAATGATATTTGTAAAAAAAATGTATATAGGGTGTTCCGTTTAAGGGTGTAACACTATCATTTTTCTTTCCCAAGCAGACGTGTATTTGGGGGTGAAAAGTGAATCTTTACACACATGTTTAATTTGCTCTATTAAAAAAAATGTGTTGGACAAAAATTAAAATAATTGTTAGATATTACAGTTTTAAGTGGTACACTTTGTATATAGAACAATTTTAATTTTAATTTAAGTTTTATGAGTTTTCTTAATTATAATTGGATTTGTATTTAATTATACTAACATAACAAAGGACCAATTTTTATAGGAACGTTTCTTCGTATAGTAAAAAATATGATCATTTTCAGTAAGAAATCCTGTTTAAGTTAATTTTCTCAAATTTAATAATAAATAATTCTTTTACATTTAAAGAAATAGTAAGTATTTTTTTTTTAAACAATATTTTTTAGACATTGGTGCGAACAAGGCGACAATTTGGGAAAATATGGTTGGTTAAAGCATGATGGTACTAATTTTGGTATACAAGAAATTGTCGATGGATATTTTAAATTAACCACTTCCTTTGTAAAAAGACCAGGTGCTAAAGGAGGGGAATGGACTGCAAGAATAGCAGTGAATACTATGGTAAGACCCCTTATTAAACCTATTTTTTATTTTATTGTCTGTAATAATTTGTCTAGCATTTTTCAAATATCGAATTAGATCTTTAAATATTTTTTGCCTCTAAATTCCTCACTTTCTTTCAAACCCAGTGATAATAATGATATGTTACTGTATAGTGACATTTAAAACAGAAAAATTGGAAATGTTACACATAGGTACCGAACATAATAATTAGATCACAATAATAAAAACACCCAGTAGGTACTATAATAGGCGAGCTCTATTACCATGCTTACTAATCAAAGTGTCAATCTCTATAGTCATTGCCATCACTTTTATCATTATTACCCTTTTTTTTCATAAGAGCTCTCATTTAAGAAAGGCTAGTTCCAAGTCAGAAGTATTTTTGATTTAGGAAGAACTTTTGTTACTATTATTATTAATATTGATATTTACGTAATAATCTGTAATAAAGTATAAAATGAGAAATTTGATCAATGAAATTAAATTATAATGGTATTTTCAAGTACCATGCGAAATACAAGTGTACCCTACATTATTTTTTTTTATAACATTTTTTAATGCAATGTGAAAAATTCTGACTTCCTCTGAATTTCTCTAACTTCCTATGAATTCCGCACGAGTTCCCTGTAGTAGTAGTAGTAGTAGTAGTAGTAGTAGTAGTAGTAGTAGTAGTAGTAGCAGTAGTAGTAGTAGTAGTAGTAGTAGTAGTAGTAGTAGTAGTAGTAGTAGTAGTAGTAGTAGTAAAGGGGCGGCCTCAGCCTGGCAATTAGGCCACGAGTGGGTCCTTTTTGCCTACCCCGCCGTCCCATCACCTAACCACTCTCTGCCTCTGACCCTCCTTGAACCTACCCGACGCCCTAATGAACGCCAAGATTTTGGTCCATGGAAGGTCTCTCACCTCAACCCCTTGCAGCTCTTCAGCTCCAAAGACTTTATGTCTTATTCTCCCAAAGGCTGCACACTGTCCCAGAAGGTGGACAGGGATGTCCTCCCCGTCGCCACATTTCGGGCATAGAGGGTCCTCCTCAATTCCTATTAGGCTTAAATGCCTCCTAAGTCTGCAGTGGCCTGTCAGAACCCCCACCATTTGGTTTAGGGCTCTTCGACTGAGGCTCAGCAGCCATCTCGTCTTGGATTTGCTAGGTCCATGTATAAAACTATGGGCCTGCCTACATCATCTATTTCTCCTCCAATTCTGACCTAAAGTTTGATAGGCCCATTTATTGAGGGCCCCATTAATGCCGCCTCGTGTGATACCTGAGATTGGTTCAGGTCCCCTGGACCCGAGACGAGCTAATTGATCCGCCCTCTCGTTACCAGGGATACCCATATGGCCTGGGACCCAAACCAACTCTACTTCTCTTCGTCTGGACAATGACTCTAGAGCGTCTCCACATTCCTGGACAAGGGCAGACCTAGTCCTTGGGGAGCTAACCGCTCTGAGCGCGGCCTGACTGTCGGAGCAGATAAAAATCTTCTCCTCTGCACAATTCCTTACCTCCTCCTTGCTTGCTACCATCAAAATAGCAAAAACCTCGGCCTGGAAGACTGTAGCATACATACCCAGTGAAAAGCTTTCCTGGATGCCGCTGCCTTCCAGATAAATTCCTGCTCCTGAAAAATCGTCTTCTACCCGAGAACCATCAGTATAACATACTAGGGATCCCGGGGAGAACATATCACCATCCTGTTTCCACTGCTCTCTCGAAGGGAAAGTGGTGACATACTTCCTTTCTAACCTAAGCCGGTCCTCTGCTTCCATAACCCTCATGGCGGATATTGGGATATCCCTCTCTGCCCTCAGGGCCACGGCAGCATGGCCCTCAGTGCGTCCTTTGCTCTCCAACCACCGGCGTCCCTTATCCTAAGGTATGCCGCCATCGCCTCCCTCATAATCCATGTAGGAAGGGTCGGCAGCCCCAGAAGGACCTCTAACGCGGCCGTTGGGGTCGTCCTCATTGCCCCTGTAATACCTAAGCAGGCAAGTCTCTGGATTCTCACCAACTTCCTGGCTACCGTCACCCGGTCCACACACGGCCACCAGACCAAGGCCCCATACTGTAGCCTCGGCCTGACCACCGCCGTGTACACCCAGTGAAGCACCCTTGGATTGAGTGTCTAGTTTTTGCCAACTACCTTCCGACAGTTTGCTGTCCAGGATTACCCCCAAGTATTTGATTTCCCTGACCAAAGTCAGGGGCCTCCCATACATGGTTGGAGCCCTGAAATCACCTATCTTCCTTCTCCTTGTAAATAGGATCATCTCAGTCTTCTTTGAGTTGACTGAGAGCCCCATCTCCTCGCACCACCTCTCTATGATCCTACAGGCTCCCTGCATTCTGTCGCATACCACGTTCAAAAACCCGGCCCGCGACTAGAACCACGTCATCATCGGCGTAAGCCTGGGCATCACTGTATCCCTCTGAGGTTAGGCGTTCCAGGAGACCGTCCATTACTAGGCACCATAGAAGCGGGGAGAGGCAGCTGCCTTGAGGGCATCCCCCTCCCACTCCCAGGTCTCTACGACAGTCCCTCATGACTGCACTAACCTTCCTTTCCTTCAATGGCGAACTCACCCATTCGACCACGATAGGCGATGTGCCCCGGTCTTGGAGCGAGTTGCATATGGTCTCAGTTTTTGCCTTGTCGAAGGCACCTTCTATGTCAAAGAATATTGCCAATACGACCTCTTTGTAGTGAAGGGCCTTCTCTACTTTATGTGTGACACTATGTAAGGCCGTCTCTGTGGACCTGCCCCGCCTATATGCATGCTGGTTCGTGTGGATTGGGTATCTATTCAACGCCCCATCCACCAGAGACCTGTCCACAATCCTTTCCATCATTTTAAACAGAGAGGATGTGAGACTAATAGGCCTAAAAGACTTTGCCGCAGTGTAGTCTTCTTTCCCAGCGTTGGGGATGAAGACCACCTTGGCTGACCTCCAAGCCTGTGGGACGTAGCCCATCCCCAGACTGGCCCGGAAGACCCTCACCATACATGGCAAGAGAATGTCCAGGCCCCTCTGCAACAACGACGGGAAAACTCCATCCGGCCCCGCTGCCTTGTAGGGTTCGAACTCATTCACTGCCCAGGTTACTGCCTCGTCGCTAATGAGCTTCTTGGCCAGGAGCCAATCTGCTTGTGGCATTGGCTCCGCCCTGGTGCCTTCGACGACATGGCCTCCACCTGCAAAGTGAGTTTCCAGCAGAAGTTCTAAACACTCCTCGCTGGAAGTGGTCCAAGTCCCATCTTCCCTCTTTAATGATTCTAATTTCTCCCTTTTGTCGCAGCTTAAGATCTTCATTAATCTGGCTGTCTCCGGCAGGGTCTCCAGCTCACTGCAGTATGCGTTCCAGCCAGATCTCTTGCTACGCCTAAGTTCCTTCTTAAACTCTCTCCTTGCAGTTTTGTAATCGTCCCAAGAGGACCCTTCCCCTTCCCTGACAGCTCGGTTGAAGACACGCCTGGCCGTCTGGCGGAGACCCTCTAGGGTCTTATTCCACCAGCGGACCTTGCGCCCACCTGCCGCCCTGAGAGGACAAGCCTCCTCATATGCCGAGACGATGCAACTGCTTAGGGTTTCTACCTCGTTATCTAACTGCCTTGTGGAGGTTATTTGTTCACCCTGGTTGCTCACTTCTAGGGAGCTCCCTAGGTTACCACGATATACCTCCCAGTTTGTTGCCCTTGGATTTCGTCGGAGAGTTATCGTTTCCGAATCTGACTTCATCTTGAAAGCAATCATCCTGTGATCGGACATCGAGATGCAGTCTGTGACCCTCCATCCAGAGATCCCTTCTGTAATAATTTGAGAAGCCAACGTAATGACAATCACATCTTTCCGGATGCGGTTCACAAAAGTTGGCTGCTTTCCCCTATTCATGACCTGCTGGTCTGTGGTTGCTATATATTCCAGCAACGCCTCCGCTATTTGCAGTTTTAAGAGTGCACACTGAACACTTCCAATTGCCCCAACCACAATCTGCGATAGGAATATTTGAATAGTGAATAAAATAAATTGTTCCTGTGGAGCAGCTTTATATTTTCATTTGTATGATGTACTGACTCTGCTTCGAGTAAGGATCTGTTCTGAAAGGCCCCCCTAGCCACCCCTAATAGCATAGCCATCCTTAAAGCAAATATGTGGATGTTACCATTGTGGAGAGTAGAGTACTCAAAAATTTATACTTAAAGGAATTACATAAAAATGAAAGGTAAATGTACTCTGATAAATTAAGAAGCAGGTTATTAGAGTAGAATTGACAATATACCAATATCACAAAAGAAGTTTGGGATATTGTCAATATGTACATAGGACATTTAAAAAAATCCATAATTATTCAACTCAATCAAGATGTCTATATCTGTGGTAAATAAAATATATGGAATATGTCGAAAGAAAATTTACTAAATTCTACTTATCAAACCAATAATGATCCTGAAGATACTATATCCCACCAGGAATTACCATTATCAATATCTCGGAAAATCTGAAACTGGCAACCTCTGAAAGGCAGTAGGGCCAACACACCTAAAATATTTAGAACTTTATGGCACTTCCGGTTATACCAGAAGTTGACATTAATTCTCTTATTTTAAATGGTACCCCCAAGTAAATTATTGCATTTTCGGATTCTACGTATAATTTGAGTCTGACTTTATTAAATATTCCCTATACCTAGGAGTTATAGATTTTGAGATATTAATTTTTAAAGAAAAAATTTGACAGATGCAAGGGTGCTTGGAGCTGCTAGTAACTCTTTTCAGAAGCGTAATATCAATGGGAATTTTGGTACCTGTAAAGGGCATAGGTAACACTAAATTATGGTATACCAACAAATTAAAACATTTAATACTAGGTGTTTCATTTTTGCAAAAATCTCGTTTTGTTTACTAACTGTTACTATAACCTTAAATGTTTTCTTTTAAAATAATCAGGTGGATGAACTATCAAATAATTAAGTTTTTTATTACTTTGTTTTATATAATTTAAGTACAATTTCTACCATTTCTTACATGTATTGTCTGATGTAAGTAGAAGAATAATAATTTAAAAGTTTGTCTGAATGATTTTATTTTTTTAAAGCGAAGTATGAAATAAAACCAAAGAAGTTTCTCACTGAACCAGGCATTAAATTTAAAAAATATTTTAGCAAGGTTATAAAGAATTAAAAGAGGAAGTATCATTGATATGGTACACAGCCTTAGATGAAGATACTAAGGGTTACATAGAACCGACTAACTCTGCAACCAAATTAACTGGTATTAGAGGTCAGACATCAACACTGGGAGAATTTACTATGAAGCTAACTAATCACTCAGGTAATATTTAAGCGTACTTAGTAGTAGTGTTGCAGTTTTACTAGATCTATTTTCGACCTTATGTACTTTGGACATAAGTGCAAAAAATGTCTTCTTTGTCATGACCTTAAATATCGCGATATTCTAGCAATGTTAGAAATATTTAAGAAGTTTCAAACCCCAAGTGACAAACTAAAAGAAATATAGAATTTATATTTTTAAATTTATAGAACAATATTGACTTTTATAGTAATTAATAAATTAAAATTATATCAATGTTATTGAGCATGCACATTAAAGATAATTTCATGAAAACGATGTAGCCTCACAACAGAATACCATTCGAGAAAAGTTTGGTTCTGGTTAAAAGTATGTCTATAATAAATCACTTGAAAAAAAAAAAAACACTTGATAAACAGACTGGCACAGCAGAGCATCAAGAAAAACAATAAAAATACTTAGTAGAACTAGAAAATGCCAAGATTAAATAAAACAGGAGAAAATACGCTAATGTTGCCAGCAATAACATTATCAACAAAATCTCACCTGCGTATGAGGCTATTCTTTCCGAGCATGAGCATTAGGAATAACACGGCTAATGTTAAATTTTTACTTTATTTAAATTTAGGAATATTCTTTTATATCGTTTTTGGTAAGTTTTAAGCACCTTAGTGTATCTATTTTACCAAACACGTGTTGTTTGTTCTTAAAATCCTTGTAAAAATAAATTAATTTGAAGTTGTCCATTTTTATAGTATCTATGTAAATAGTACACAAGGGTTAGATTCGATCTGTACAATTTCAACTATGGCAATTTGTTGCCGGTTGCCTAAATATGTGACGTCACACTAAAAGAGTATTGAGCTTAACTTGCTCTCGACGAGAGGAATCCATGATGCTCTCTTAACAAGTATTACAAATTACTTATTTTACTCCACTCCTAACGGCCAAAGGTTATTTGTGTAAAATCATACATAGCAGCCTTAGAACCATGAACAAGGATCATAATCAATATTAGGGCAGGTTTAGAAGTTCTGTTAGCCTCTACACTGAAGGTAACCAGATACACAGGCCACAGCATAACAACCCAATAAACCATGTACCTTAAATAACAGTGTGGACCATAAAAGCCTTAAAACCACTATCAGATAAGTTAAAATAGACGAATGTCCTCAAAGTCTAAGATTTGTAAAGAGACATTGCTATCGACATATTTAGATCTAAGAAATTATTCTTGTATCATTATTATTTATTGCATTCATTATTTTTATTGTGTTGTTATAATACCCTACTGGAAAAAATTAAGGGAACAAAATAAAATCTCCAATTTTTGGCAATTTTTGGCAGGCTGCATCTCAGCGAAAAATGGTCATATCGAGATAAAAAAGTTTGAAGCTTCGTCTCTGAAAATTTTTTGAGCTCTGATTATTGTGTAATCATAGGAAATAGTGTGATAAAAAAATTCCAAACTTTTTGTTTATTTTAAAGGTCAGGAAATTTTTTTTCACTTGGATTGATGCATGGGTCAGTTGGCTTGATTATTCAGCTTTAGTTTGTTTTTTTTCTTATAAGATACCTGGCTTTGAATGAAAAAGGATCATTTTGTCCTTAATCATCAATATCTCAATAACTAATGACCTCACACTAAATGTAAGGGTGGTTTTGAAAACTTGAATAAAGTCTGCAAGAACCTTCCATGATTTTTAAAGAAACATTTATTTTTCTTTCTTAACATTAATTTGAAAAAAGTGCAAATAAATTACTTTACAGATTTTTTTTAAATCTACTGCTAATTTACAAATATTGAGTTTTCCTAATGTTGATAGAAATTTTTATAGATCAACGTACCCACAATAATCCTGTAAACTGACAAATTGATTCATTGAACCGTTTTTCTATTACAAATGATTAAAGTTTTGGAAAGAACATGTTTATTTCTCCTAAATATTAATCATTATCAAAATTTTGGAATCAATCGAGAAAAATTCTTCTTTTTCATGTTGATAATCGAGGTATTTCTTTGACTGCTCGATAACCGTACCTCAAAAAATTTTTTTTTCAAAAAATCTTGAAACTAGAGAGTTAAAGCTTCAAAATGCCGACGACCATTTTTGACTGAGTCTAGTTTAAGTAACAAACTGTCCCGTTTTGTGGTACGTTTTATATCGGAAAGTAACAACCGTACTGTTCCCTGACTGTAGAAGTAGATGGCTGAATGTCCTTTGAAACTGTACAATTATATTTACTTCTCTGTCTTCAATATCTAATACAACGAATCAGTGTCAGTGTAACCAACTGTAGTAATAAAAACCAAAAAGAAAGGCACACAATTTTTTTAGGTAGCGATCGAGTCATTTCTGGATTCATGGATTTCTGTGTACTGTGTTCAACTGGATATTTTTTAAAACTGTCGACTAAATGTTACTGGGATCATTTTAAGTAATGCATAAAGTTAGTTTGAAGTTCTTTGTTTCCTATTAATTTGCCTAAACTATTAATAAATTTTGGAAAATCAGTTTCACAGAAAAAATTTATAGTTTTCTCAGAAACCAGGCAATAGATTTTTAAAACGTGAAAATATGTTATTTGATATATTATTATTTTATGCCAAAATGCAACCCCATCAGAATAAAAATTGTTAATTTATTTAAAACTCATTGTGAATTTTGGGGGAATGGGGTAAAATTTTTATTGGAAGACGTATTAATTGTTGGTAATTTTATTTTATTTGCAGGTATTTTAGAACATGAATCATTTTTGAGTACTACAGCTCCTGGACTGCATTTGTTGAAAGAAACTGTGATATCTTCTTTAAGGCTTGCCCAAGATAGTCTAAATGTTGCAAGAAAAATTGTTCTGGCGGGAGAACTACGTCCAATGACTGAGAAAGTAAGTATATGACCAACATTGTATTTAGTGCATTTCTTGGGTAAAATAAATTAAATTTTCTGTATGTCATTACTTTTGGGACACTCTATATATATATACAGTGCTATCCAAAAGTCCCGGTGCGGCAGAAAAACTTTCGAAGAATGCATTTTGGGAAAAAATGTTCCAGACAAAAGTGTAAGGATTTTTCCCTGTCCCGTAGGGGCATTTCACGTGAAGCGGACAATGAAAAGAAAGTGACGTTCTGAAATTTGTTCATATTCGGCTTAATTCTTCTACTTCTAGTACTTCTAGTAGTAACTTCTAGTAGGTATGAATGTGAACACACAATTTATTTTTTGTATGATGTTTATTTGTCAAGTTATGGGCTTCTAAAGAATTGTCATAATTCAAATTCGTATTTTTTGGAAACAGTTTTTCGAATTAAACAAATTTATTTTATAATATTGAATAGGGCGACTTATATAGAAAATTTAGTGTTCTTTTTAATTATAAAATGAAATTGGAAAATATATTTTTTTTCATGTGCAAAACCGGAAGTGAACATTTCAAATCAGAATTTTAGTAAGTTTGACCAATTTTTTATTTTTTATTTTATTTAAAAATATAACCTAAAGTACATTTATAATACACCAGAAGTTTTAAAATGGGATCTGCATTAGTTTAGAAGATAGATGAATTAAAGTACATACGTGTGGCACTGGGCGTGGTACCTAGCCTTCCTTAGGTCATCTGGTTGCGAAACGCTCCGATATTAATATGTATTAGGTATCCTGTTTAAGCGTATTTAAGCTCTAACAATGATGTGGGGTAAGTATTAATTATTCAAATTAATAAGTAGTACAAATTGAACAAAGGTTATGCAATCAGGAAAAGTGGGAGACATAAATTGCTTATTCATTCATTTATTTTATTAAAAAAAAGGTTATGCACTCACTCAAAAATATTTTATCTTTATTAATTTATTTGATCTTTGATTTTTTCATTATTTTTGTAGCTGTTCCTCTAACCTGCTTTTTACTAATATTTTTGTTCAATTTGTACTATTTTAATTTGAATAATACTTACCCCACATCATTGTTAGAGCTTAAGTACACTTAAATAGGATACCTAATACATATTAATATCGCAGGGTTTTACTGTGATATCACGCAAATCAGTCAACCTAAGGAAGGCTAGGTACCACCCTCAGTGCGACATGTATGTACTTTAATTCATCTATCTTCTAAACTAATGCAGATCCCATTTTAAAACTTCTGGATGTACTTTAGGCTATATTTTGAAATAAAAAAAATCAAAAAAAAACTGGTCGATCTTACTAAAATTCTGACATGAATGTTCACTTCCAGTTTTGTACATGAAAAAAAAAATATTTTCCAATAAATTGTGTATTCACATTCATACCTACTAGAAGTACAATTAAGTCGAATATGAACAAATTTCAGAACGTCACTTTTTTTCGCTGTCCGCTTCACGTGAAATGCCTCCTATTTGATGGTGACCTTGGATTTGACCAAGCATTTGAAGGTCAAGTTAAGTTTTTTAAATGGGAACCCCTATTTTTTATTGCAGATTTGGAAAGAGCAGGAAATTTTACTTCCAAAATTGGTCTTGACCATGACTTTGACAATGACCTTCAAGGTCATTTCAAGGTCAATCTTGTTTTTTCAATGGTAACCTCTATTTTTTATTACGAATTTGGAAAGAGCTGTAATTTAACTGTCAAGTTCGACCTTGACTACGACTTTGACAATGTCCCTCAAGATACCACTTAATGTTTTCGAGATTTTCTTAACATTCTTCAAAATTTGTGTTTTGCTCCATCTTAAAAAAAAAGGAAGGGGGCGGGGGGGAAATTATTTCCTATGACAAAAAGTAAGAGAACTCTGGATTACGTAAACCGACTTCGATGGCTTGTTCAAAAGGCAATTGATTGCTTAATCATAACTTTAAATTGAATTTCAATTTAAAAAATAAATAAACCGTCAATTGCCCCTGTTTTGAATAAAACAGTTTTATCAGTTTTTTAAAAAAATTCAAATATAATGCTACCTTTTTTATTTTATGGTGTTTTTACACTTAAAGTAACAAAAAAAAAAGGCCTCAAGCCGTAACCTGTAATAATTTATCAGGTCCTCGGTATTTTGTGCAGATAAATACTGGATGTTGCATTAAAAAATGCATTTTTCTTTAACTCTTAAAAAAAATATTATTTTATCTAATACTCCAGTAACTTTATACATCACGGCATGCGTCAAATCCGGTAGTTCTGATTTTTTGCAGACTTGTTTATGATGTTGGCCTAATGAATAATCCAAGTTTGTGACCTCGAGCGCCGAACGCAACTTTGTCAAAAATCGAAAAAACCGCGAAAAAATCGTTTTTTTTTCAAATTTTGGCGATTATAACCCTAAAGGACTAGTTTTTGAAAAAACTTTCTTCGGACGTTTTTAAAGTAGACTAAATTTGCTACAATATGATACTAGAACTGTCTCTGTGGACCCAATAGTTTCCGAGATTGAGCCTTTCAAAGCTTATCATTTTTTTCGAACTTCGCAATTTTTTGCAATATTTTAGACGTCACTCGAATAACTCTAGCGGGATGAAGTTCCAATTACCTCCGACGGACTGATCTAGTATTGCTCGTGTAAAGTCACGAATCCGACCCACCTGTAGCACGTTTTTAACCTTCCCTATTTTTAATTTTTTTTTTCATTTCAGTTGTTGACTGGCCTGCTGCCCATAACGTGAGTGTCGTTTGAACTCAAAATCTACAGAATGTCTGATCCCAGTCCCAGCGTGGGTTTGTGTTTTATATGTAAGGAGACTTTAAGTGAAGGTCAAGTGCGCCTAGTGAAGGAGAGAGGTGTAAAAACCCTTCTTGCGTCGAGTATTTCCCTTAAGAACATAGAAAATCAGCGTTTATTGAAGGGTGTAAATGAGATATATGTGCACAGTGCTTGTCAGATAAAATACAACAATCCGAAGTTGATCAAAGCAGCTGTTAGCAGTGGAAAATCAAATATTACGCCATCAAGGGCCACGAGATCAGTCTCAGAGCAGTTCAATTTCAGAGAACACTGTTGTCTATGTGGAGACAAAATAACTGAAGAGTTCCTTGTGGCAGAAAGGAAGAAGAAGCCAGAAAAACGGAACAATATCATTACTGCGGAAAAGTTGTCTCTCAGTGCAACAATCTTGAGAGCAGCTGAGAAACGTGGTGATGAATGGGCTCTTAAAATAAAAGAGCGTATATCTGAGAACACAGATTTGGTAGCCCTTGATGCTAGATATCATCGGTTTTGCCAAACAAAGCTCTACCAGGCACCACCAACAGGAAAGTCCAGGGGAAATCGTCAGTATCCCACAGTTGATGAGGCCATGGAAAAGATTTATTCATTTCTGGAAGAGAACAGTGAGGAGTGTAAGTTCTCTCTAGATGAACTCATGGACCAGATAGAAGGAGAACGACCTCAACTACGAACAGTCAAAAATCGCTTGTTTGCAAAGTATGGGGAGGACATTGTGATCGTTGAGAGACCCTTCAAACACACGACTGTTTGTTTTAAAAACACAGGTCACAAAATTCTCACCAGTACATAGTATGACAGTAGAAGTTCAGATCCTCAAGCAGAAAGACTACGCGTGGTGAAAGCAGCTGCTGAAGTCATACGAGAGGATATACGGTCGCAAGTGTACGACACAACACAATTCACACCATCCGACGACTTCTTCCAGAATGTAAATTCAGTTATCCCTGATTCTTTGAAACTGTTGCTCGAAGCAGTAATTTTAAAAGACAAACGAAGCTGCTTGGATTCCTATAGAAAGAAGTGCGTTTCTCTTGCACATTCAATAATATCGGCAGTCAGGCCTCGCTCGTTCATTAAAATGCTCATCAGTCTGCAGGCACTGCAGCGGGGCCTCTTGTGACAATATACCTGATGTTGCAATAGTAGATATCCCAGAAGGCGACGATCTGTCCGATGTCGAAATGGAGGATGACTTGTGGGCACAAGACGTCGACGATTCATCACCATCCCCTGATGGGGACATGCCATCCCAATACGTCGATCCAGATACGGGCGAACCTCAACCGGGACCTTCCAGGAGGGCTAAATTAATTTAATTTTTTGATTTTGAATATTACTCAATTTCCTAACAAATAAACTTATTAACTTTTGTTGTACTTATCTTTTTTACTTCATTATGCGTAGCTTAGCTTAAACATCATCGTTCACACTTCTCATTTTCTTTTTTAACATCCCATCATAAAAGTACAGGGCTTCGATAGTATAATCAGGGTCAAAATTCGTTCAGAACGACAGAATTGCAAAAAATTGCGAAGTTCGAAAAAAATGATAAGCTTTGAAAGGCTTAATCTCGGAAACTATTGGGTCTACAGAGACAGTTCTAGTATCATATTGTAGCAAATTTAGTCTACTTTAAAAACGTCCTAAGAAAGTTTTTTCAAAAACTAGTCCTTTAGGGTTATAATCGCCAAAATTTGAAAAAAAAACCGATTTTTTCGCGGTTTTTTCGATTTTTGACAAAGTTGCGTTCGGCGCTCGAGGTCACAAACTTGGATTATTCATTAGGCCAACATCATAAACAAGTCTGCAAAAAATCAGAACTACCGGATTTGACGCATACTACCCCATACTTTCAGGCGACAAAGTTACTGGATTATAAACTTTTGTTAATAACTTCAGTTTGAAAGAAGATACAGGGTTCCGACTTGCGACATTTTTTCGTTATTTTATGTGTAAAAACATCATTTAAGGTTATGATTAAGCAATCAATTGCCTTTTCAACAAGCTCAACTTCATTGAAATAGGTTGACGTAATAGAGAGTTATCTTACTTTTTGTCATAGGAAATAATTTCCACCCCACTTCCTTTATTTTTTAAGATGGAGCAAAATTTTTTCAACAAAAATTTTGAAGTATTTGCAGATCTCGAAAAGATTAAGTTGTATCTATTGTTTCATTTGATTCTTTAAAAATAAAGCAGTTTTTTTACTTTTATTTTAGAAATCGCCCTCTAGCGGCTAAAATTAAAACATAAAAATAATTTTATTGAATTTCTATTGGCCATATTAGTCATAATTTTTTTTCCTCAAAATCTATAGGACAAATTAATAGTTTCTGAGATACAGCCGGTCGATGACCTTAATGGGACACCCGGTATACGTATACAGGTTGTCTATTATAATAGGGCCACTCCTATGTATCTCCCTTATTACACAATGCATGTCAAAAATCTTTAGATGTTTTTTGTTGCATTTTTAAGGCCTTTATGCTCCTAAAATGAAATTTGACATCCATGGATAACTTTGTGAGTAATCATAAGAAAACCGGAAAAGTACCGAAAGGTTGTCTAACTTTTTTATTTTAAGAGGAAACTTATTTTAATAAAATTTCATGGTAAAGTCGATATCTTTCACCTAGTGTAAACAGATTTTTAAGGTATCGTCAGTGGCGGCTCGTGAAGGAGGACTCTGGGACTCCGCCCCTCAGATATTTTCAAACTATAAACTTAAAATAATGTATTTATTTAAATCAATAAGAAATCTAAATAGCATGCATTCAATATCTTTTGGATGTTAGGTTGGCATAAAGTGCATGTACTCCGTGAACGTAGCTCAGGTTAATGCCATCTTCCATCTATGATCGTACCAAAGAGTTATGTTTAACCGCGCACGCAATCCCCACTCCATCGCGGACCGTGAAATCTGAGTCCATCGTGCAAGCATATTTTTACATATGATTGGACAAATTGGCACGTGGAGGGGATAGGCGACGATAGGCTCGCGCGCTTTGTTTTGGGACTCCATGAGGCAGTAACCCGTATCACTGAAGTGTGGTTATATGTGTTTTGTTTTTGCTTTGGCGCTTTTTAAGACATTATATTTTATAAGTTTAAGTTTAAAATGAGGGTTTGTGAAATAAAAAAACTTGTTATTAGTAATTTAAGTTTAGAGGAAAAAGTCGAATTGAAAAATAACGGACGTCCAACGCCAGTGTTGAATTTAGTTGAGGTGCAGAAAGAGTGCAAAAAGTGGGCCGGCTTTCGCAAATTTGATAAAAACATTTATGATAAGACCCTGTGGTTGTGTGGTTGTGACCAAACAAATAGATTTTTTTGTTTTGTATGTTTATTGTTTGGAGGAGGCGAAGAAAACTGGACGAAAACTGGAGTTTCTGACTTGAAACATTTAGAAATTAAAATTAAGAAACATGAAAATTCTCCTAAACACAAAAATAAGTTGGTGAGTTTTTTACTTTTAGGAAGAGTAAATATTGCTTCTTGTTTAAATAGTGCTTATGCAGAACAAATAAATAGTAAATAGTCATAACGAAACAGTTAAGA